CACTTTGAATCCATAGATTTTGTTCGCCTCCGGCGCGTGGCCTCGTCTTAATCTGCAACTCATTTTCCCTGTCTTTCGCTACAGATTCGGAACTCAGTTCACTTCTGTCGGCGTGCAGTAACCCACTTCCAGTTAACGATTGCTTATAGACCGATACTTCAATGCGAAGTTTTGTCCAAACTCAACAGCATCGCCTTCCATCTCAAGGGTACTAGTAGAGAAATGTTAAGTCGGTGTTTTAGAAATAATACGGGGCAAAGATAAATTGACTTCATTTGCAGACGAAATTCTCTCCGCGTTTTCGTAAGATCCGCATCTTCTTAGGCCTGGACGTATTTCACAGCGATCTTTTGAAACGCTGAGAGTGGGCCTCTCTTTTACGTAAACTGCAAGGAACGCCGTTCATGCATTCAGTTCGTACTTTGTATTGTTCATGCGTCTGCTGGCTGTGTTCATTGAACAAGACGGGGTCTGAGCGTTGAATATTCATCGCGATGCCATAATAGAACCTGCAAAGAATTAATTTGTATTCAAAGGCTTCATTTCGATGTTGTTGAGTGGTTATGAATAATTTCGTTCGCTTGTGGTGAGAGAACGCGCTAATTAAGGTTCTTATTTCGATGATTGAATCCTGAGTTCGCTGCCGATGGATTTAGTCTACTGTGTGTAAGGATTTGGAAGGAGTCTGTCGCTACCTGCTTCAAGGTGGTCTCTGTAGCGCTGTGCTGGCATTCGCTTGGGGCGACTACGGAAGGGGACAAAAACACACCCGTTGTCACAGAATAGAATACACTTTCCGCCATTTATATTTTCCCCCGAAAGAAGGGTGGAGGATCTGGACAGGTTGGCGCAAGTAGACATAACTGCTGATATAGCGTCATCAAATGTCGTGGCCTCGCTCTAGTTTTTCGTCGCATTCTTCAGAAGTGCAACTTTTTTGGGGATTTAGTGTCCGTCACAAAAAAGTACCTGAACACTTGAGATATTCTGACTGTTGATGGGAAGTTTATATATGAGATTAAGTTTAAGAAAATAAATTTTAATTACTACAGACTGAAATTAATTAATGTACGGAAGGCCCACTTCTAAGTCCGCGTGCAGATTAAAGCATTGTCAAAAACGTCTTAGATGGCAGGCGACGACGTGTAGCTGAAAGGAGCGGAATTTAGCTTTATTGGCAAAACCAACGAAACGTCTGTCTGTCTGTCTGTCTGTCACGAATTTCTCCTCATATATATTAAAAGCAAGATCACAAACCCAGATTCTCGTGCTCATCAGTACGCAGAAATACCGGCTTGCTATCCATGGTCAATAGTTTCGGGTCAGACCGAAGTACTTGGTACCGGCTGAGATTAGCGCCTAACCCAATCCTGGAGGCCTTCAGCTTGAGTGATGTACACCCCCTCCCCCCTTCCAAAGCGATCACAACACTTCTGAGTTCAAATCCCAGAGAGGAAAAGACTTGCTGTCCCACTATACGCCATGTAGGCGCTTGGGGGGTGAGGCGGTATAGCTCCTCATTCTTGACCTCGGCACTGGATGGTGGTGAGTGGTCAGCGCCACGCCCTGGTCACACTTTACCCCAGGCGGATGGACCTCGGTACCCAACGGAGAGAAAATGCATAGTGTTCACGCCGATTAAAATGTTGTTATGTTCCGCGTTGGGGGCTTACAGCTTTCTAGACATCCGTAATGCTATTTTGCTGCCTGGTTCGATTATTAATCATATACTGTTATTCCCTTCTTATACTGATATAAATATAATTTTCATTGTTCATGGTGATATTTCATACATTTTCATAATAAAATTAACTAACCCCCTCGAGCTGTTTATGTGTCTGTTAGTTGGTTAAAATTGTGTGCTGGGTTGATAAACTAATGGGCGAGACACACGGACACACGCTGATTGCAGTTGTACGTGCGCGGTTAGGTTTGGTTAGGTTAGGTTAGGTATGTTTGGTTAGGTTAGGTTAGTTAAGGTTAGGTCAGGTTAGTTAAGGTTAGGTTAGTTAAAGTTAGGTTAGGTTATATTTGGTTAGGTTAGGTTAGTTAAGGTTAGGTCAGGTTAGTTAAGGTTAGGTTAGTTAAAGTTAGGTTAGGTTATATTTGGTTAGGTTAGGTTAGTTAAGGTTAGGTCAGGTTAGTTAAGGTTAGGTTAGTTAAAGTTAGGTTAGGTTATATTTGGTTAGGTTAGGTTAGTTAAGGTTAGGTCAGGTTAGTTAAGGTTAGGTTATGTTTGGTTTGGTTAGTTAAGGTTAGGTCAGGTTAGTTAAGGTTAGGTTGTCAGTTTGATTGCTGCTTCCTGGTCTAAGGTTGCGGCTTCAATGCCCAGCTAATTGTTCATCTTTGACAGCCATGTTGGAGGGTGATAATACTGGGGAGTCATGAAACGCTTGATTTTGTATCTCACGTTATACACGTCTGTTTCGTATGAAGTTGTGGCGTTTTAAGAATATTGTTACGTATGGCGTGATCGATTTTTAGAAATAAATACGTGTTTCTTGTTTCTGAAGAAGTCATCTGTAAACAGTCACACAGCATGTTTAACATTTTCTGAACAGTGGACAAAATTACAGTCATTATAAACATGATACAGTATGACATTAACATACAACATACATTCAGACCAGCTGAAAGTAACATTTTCTTTTTTTACAAATATGTTTCTCTTACATTATTGATTTCATCAGATTTCTGTCCAGTGTAGAGACGCTCCTGGGCAGTCACATTCCTTGTGTTACTGCGTAGGCGTGTCTGTTTGTTTGGTTTTTACAAACATTAGGGGCTTGATGAAGGCAGGGAACAGCTTGCTCCTACAATTATTTTATGTTTGAAGTCCATTTGTGAGTATGACTAGCAAATAACATGAAGTCTGCCCTCTGCGTACAGCAGTGATTAACAAACACTTCGTTCTCTTGGCATTTATTCGGAATTGTTGGCACACAGATCAGTCATTGTTTTGGGGTTAAAACTGGATAAATTATGTTTAAAAATTGTTCAGTGTGTATTAAGCACTACTGCATGGACGCCAGTTCCTTTCGCCTTTGCAATAAGATGGATTTGTTGTACGTCCCAACTTTAATTATCCTTCCATCTACACCTAGGTCTTCCAAGTTGTCTCTTCCGTTCCATGTTTTCCGGTGTGTTTGTGTCATCCCACGTGATGATGAATAGTTTGAATCTCGGATGCGGTTCAGTGCGTAAATGTGGACTACAAAATGCTTAGGACAGGAGTTACAGACGCGCGGACATTTTATGATTTGTACATTTGTTCATACAGCGAGTAGTTTAATCGAGGTGTTTGCCCTCAGACATCGAAATATTTGTGTTGGCGTTCAACGAGACAGTGGACCTGTAAGGAGATGCTTAGCTCATGGCTGCATCTACGAAAGAACGTGACTCTGCTGATTTATTTTATCATTATTTACTTCCGTGCTCCGTGGTAGTCCTCAGACTCTGCCATCGAAATTACTGCCGTTCCGGGTGATGTTGAGAAAGAATGCGTTTTATTGGAAGTTAGTTTTGTGATTTAATTAGGTATGTGGAATGAGTCGGAAAGAGATTACAAAATTAATTTTACCTTCAGACTTCTAGCCGAATGTTCCGGTTTGAAAGTTAGGCTAGGACCGTAAGTAAAGCTGCAGGCGCTTGGGGGTGGGGATCTGTCGCGAGTTTCTTCAGTCTTGTCTAAAAGGGAGCTACAGTGAACTGCCAATGTTTTGGTCCCACGCGAGTGTAGTGTCTTGTATGGCAAAGTGTGTCATATAACACATTGGGTCATTTGCACTGTGAATTTCGTGAGATCACAGGAAACAGGTTGAAGTTGTATTTGAGTAAAATTTCGTACGCGTCAAGATTTTCGGTATACGTGTAGTGGCCTGAAGGATTGTGTGAGAGAAGTGTTGTTTTCTGCACTATTGAAAATGCTTCGTGAACAGATTCATGTCTATTCTAACAGGAATCTTAATTCTTGGGATGTAGTTTTCTGTGGTCCAGTTCTAATCCTGGCTTTCCTCGGGACCAGCTCCGCTGGCTGCAGTTGGGATACGATACATTCTTATGGCAGCTGGACCAGACGAACTCTTAGGCTGTGAGGTCCATTTGAACCAGAAATGTGCGTTTGTTTTTAATTCTGTACGCCGTAACAAACGTTCCATAGTAATTTTATTTGCTTTGGTACACTCGGGTTATCATTTATAATTCGTAACTGATTCCTCCACGTTATGACAATGAATAATTAATTGCTACGGCTTCAGTGAAGGCTCTCTGAAATCTCACAAGGCAGTTTAATTACGTGCTTCAGCAATTTAAAACGACCTAAACTGACAGTACCACTCGATGTATGCATTTCCGATATCGATACGGAATTTATTGTTAATAAACATTCCTCGTATATAAGCAGACTCTGTGGCTCCCTCAATGTGACGCATTCATAACGCGCTGTTTAATAAAGATTGAATATGTGGCGTGGGTTCGAGTTTCTTCTCAGGCACTCCAGGTCTTTTGTGCGGACCAAGTGAACATGGCGATGCTGCTGTTCAGCAGTCACGGTCTTCGACGTCGAAGGTGTCCGGGTAGTTCTCTGACGGGGTCCTCATGACGATGTACGAGGACGATGTAGATGAGGGGGTGGCCAGTAAGGGCGTGCCTTGCAGGGATAAGGACAGGGGTAGGGCGGCAGCTCCCGCCATCGCCCCCGCTGGAGTCGAAATCGTGTTCCTGGAGGAGTGGGCCGCTGCAGTGGAAGGTGTCACTGGAGTTCCAGCCGGCCGGCTCTCGGCCTTGCCGACCGGTGACACCTGCACCTCAGCAGCCTGATGAAGGCAGCTCTGAATGTCCTGTTGAACACCGTGTAGATGACGGGGTTGATGGTAGAGGAGACGTATCCCAGCCAGAGGCACGTGTCCACCACGTGGTCTGGAACGTGGCAGTCTGGACACGCGGCGAAGATGATGTTGAGGACGAAGAACGGAGCCCAGCACAGCACGAAGGTGAAGAAGACGAGGCCCAGGACTTTGGACGCCTTTTGTTCCGTGGCTACGGCGTTGGCGGCCAGCGAGCGTCTCTTGTTTCTTCCAGCCACGAATCTGGAAGCAGGAAACTGAAACACTGCCAGTTCATAACAAAGCTTCCTTCCCGCGCGCTCCTGTCGGCATTACTTATAAACAAGTAGCAGGCACAGATGCTGTTAAATAATAAGGCGAGGGCTCAGTGTACGAGGTCCGTGGGGAGGCTCGTCTTGAGCACGGTTTCGTAATTGGTGAGGAATTTTTTAGAGTAGGTAAGCGACTGTTAGCTTCACAACGACTGCAACAGTTCGGTAGGTCTCGCCCAGATACCGGCTGTTCTGAGGTTCTGAATCTCTTGAGACAAATTCTGATACCGCACAGAAAACGGTTCGTGATCGCTTCCTTCCCTATCCTTTCCAGTTCATCGATCACAATGATTCTTTCGTTGAACGTTGAAACTACCTAGTTTATAGTTCGTAGAGTATGAATATTTTTATTTACTGGTGACGTCGAGGGTGCAGTTGGAAAACATTTTTTTTTTTAAATTTTGCTCAGATTCGTCGGTCACCTCTCGTTTCCTATTCTGCCCTGTCATGGGCCCCAAATTCCCACGGATTTGTTTATGGGATTTGGCATTGTACGAATTCATGAACGTCGGTACTGCTAATGTCAGGAAAGGATCGAGAAGAACATGGCTGTATTCTGGATTGCAACGTCGCGTAGTCTGATAGAAGTTTACCGTCGTTTCAGAGGTACTTACTGCCTCCATCATCGGGGAGATTGGTGATGGAGACAGCAAGTACCTCTGAAACGCCAATGAACTTCTACCAGATTACCGGGACGGCCATCTTCGTACTCACCGCCGTGAAAACCTCACATCCAAGAAACGGACCAAGAACTTTAAGGCTTCCGAGGTGGTGAAAATGTGGGTTCAGAGGTCGCGTGGTCTACTTGGTGGTTTCCGACGCGTCGCGTCGCGTCGCGTCCTCCGAAAAGTTGTTAACCGGGGAGGGAGCTCAGCAAACACAAGAGCACGGGTTTTGTCGCAGGGGAAGCAGAAGACGGGCAGAGAGGTCAAGGGTCGTATGTGAGCTCAGCCATGGGCCGGACATGGCTCTCGGGCCGTAGATTTTGTCCTGAGTGTTCTAGAGAAAATGTTTTTTCAGATTCGCTGTTGGGCGGGGTGCCCCGGGGGTCTCGATGGTGGCTGATCCTTGGAACGCCTTTCCGTGTGCGTATCTCGGAAGAAGTAAACGAAGTGAGAAGTATCTTCTCATAAACCGGAGCAGTGATACGACCGTGGTTTGGACTCTGTCCAACTGTCGTCTTGTTTAGGTGTGCTTAACATTAAGCGGTCTTGTGTAAGTCGCTTTCTCCAGCCTCTTTGACGTGTGACGTGGCACAGCAGTTACAAGCTCGCTTGCGGCTGTTTGTTTTTACTTTAATTTAATTTAATTAACAGTTGCTTCGACTCTCGCTGACCGACACTGAGATTTACGTCGCGTGGCGTGTTTAAGAATTGGCTACGTCGAATGTTGAATTGCATTGGTAATCGAAATTGCAGTAATATTTCCCATTTACCGTCATCTTATCACAACTTTGAGCAACTATTCAGGGGTCTTTAAGCCCCTCAGACATGTTTTTTCGAGATTCCGTGCGTGGTCAGTAGATGTTTCTGTACCGGTTCGCTTCGCTTCTCAGTTGTACTGATGTTTATTAACATAGGCTGTAATGTGCATTAACGTACTTCTGTTGTTTTTCAGGTAAGAGTCCTCATTTATTGGTGGGAGCTGGAGTCACGCTGTTGCGGTGAGTAGCCCGAATGAATTTTGATTCACTTGTCTTTATCTTATCTTTCATTGAAATTCAATTTCCGTGATCCGAAAACACTGTGCAGGTGTGTGTTCTTGTGTCCGTTTGTAGGACATTCTTATTCTTCTGCTGGATGGACGTTTTTCTGAGTTACGAATTTACGTACAGGCCGCGTAGAAATGCGTTCATGTCCCCTTCTCCCGGTCAGATTGTGAATTACCTACACGTGGCTCGTTGACAGTTTTTAATAGTTTTCGGCACACTAAAGGTTGCATGTTCTTGGAAACGTGAATGTGGGTTAATACTGATTGTGTCCACGAGGAGGCGTGCAGTTAGTTAGTGCTTTGCGTTGCGGTTAGGACCAGTTGAACTGCCATCAATGGCGACCCGTGACTTAGTAGCACCTAGCTGTCGCTTGCACCGTCCAGTGACGTTTCGGAGGTTCGTCATCGTACATTCTCCCAA